CCATAGCGTAAGCAGCATCTTTTAGAGTTGAGAACCCCAACGGAAAGTCGATTGCTGCTTCTTCTTGCAGGAGGTCTGCGTCGTCGTTTGGTGTTCCTTATGACACAATGTCTCGTGCCGGAGCTCCTTCAATCACCACCTCGCCTGCAGGCTGCATGACAACTGAGAGTTAAGTATTTACGTTGTTGATGGCGTAGATCTGAGCACAACGTCGGGATTGGGTATCGTTAGTCGATTCAAGCGGCCAAAGTAGTGGTACAAATCTCCATCGATGGCAGAAACCCTGTGTCCAGTGCTGGGGACAGTTTCCGGCCGAGTGAAACTCAAATACTGCATTGCATTGTACCGACGCAAGTTGTCGACAATGCTCTCGATGCGCAGTGACGCCGCGTATCGGACGAAGCAGTTGACACCATTGACGCCCCAGAGAGGCATCTTAACAGAAGCCACAAGAGCAGCATGCGAGGCCAAGTTTTTGCTTGTAGGTGGTAGTGTTTATGATAGACACAATGGCATCGTTGTTGTGGCAAAGCGTTTGATTTTTGTAGCTGGCAGGAGATTCACACGCGTGTTCGACGCCGATCCCAATATAGCTGCAGCAAGGTTAGCGGAGCTTGCACACCTCGGACGGCATAAGGCGTGCTGCGGAAAACTCGCACACATACGACAGCAGCTTGTGCTTGCGGAGAATGCGCTTAAGTGGTTCGTGTATCGTGCGGCGTGCGCTCAAGGCCTTGCGGCTACACTGTCTAATTCGCCCAAGTGATCATCGCCAATAAGGACTTCGGCAGCATACGGTATCTGCCCCGGCATCTTGGGCTCCAGGCACATCATCATCTCCTGCGACCTCTCGGGAACATTTACACTTAACGTTTCTCTTATCCTGACAAAGCTGAGTGATATATACTTTATAGCGTAACAATTCGCAACCAATCAGAATTTAACACTCCCACCCAGCACCGAAAGCGATGTTCTACTGGATACCCTTCTGGGCCTCGTCACTGCCAACTCGGAACAACGCGCTGTTTTTGACACCGTATGCCACGAGCTCAATTTGCCTGCCCCCTTGCCATCGTAGACGTCACATGTTTTGTGTGGCGGAGGTGTTCCGAAAACGTTTTGTGTCGAGACTTCTGCTTGCATGGTGTCGGTCCAACGAACGTGTCTCGATTGCTGTTGCATCCACCACAAGTCTTGCAGCGCCAATATTCAACGGCTGTATTACCGCCCACCTGCGGTTCAAGATTTCTGTAGCCGTCAACGACAACACTATTCTCATTGTGAAGAAGTAAAGTCATCTTGCTGCTCTATTTCGCGCGGCCGATTTTTTCGTCTGGGACGATGCTCGATGATCCACAGCAGAACTTGTGACACCTTCGATCGCATGCTGCAAGACATTTGCTTCAAATCGTCCAACTTTTTCTTCTTTTTGGCGACAAGACCATATTTCTTCTCAGGTGGCATTTAATAATATTTGCCTATCATTCCACGTGCGTCGCGTCAGAAATTAATGGATGCGTGCTTATGGCAGGGCGATGCATGGGGAGACATTACTACTTACCATCTCTTTACGAACATGCGTTCTTGGCAACGATGCGCCGTTGGCTTTCATGCTACGTTACGTCGGCAACAGGCCATAAAGCAGCGACGACGATGGACGCGGGGGCCTCGGTGAAGAATATATCTGCCTACCCGACGACTTGTTTATTTGACAGTGACAGTACGCACGTGCTTACAAACTTGGTTCAGTTTGTCTATCCTGACTTCTCACCTATTAATGTGATGCCATCTTTCCTTTCGCGACGAGCGATTTTGGCGCAAATGATGTCGTCACTTTAGTCTAGGCTATGGTACTGGCGCAAGTGCTAGTAGCTGAGAAATAACACCAGCGTGACAACACGTCGGCAGAAAGCGTCAAAGATTTAGAAGACGAAGTGCCGGCTGTTACGGTTGAACACCGTGCGCCTCGATCAACAGAAGGCATCAAGTTTGAAGGAGCTCCGGCATAGGCCATCGAGTTGCAAGTAGCTACACAGAAAAACAACGCCGAATCCTCTGCAAAGAGAGGCTGCTATCAACTTCCAGTTGAGTCTCACAACTCCATTAACATCGCCGGCTTCCCACCGCACCGTCATGAGCTCAAGATTAACACCACTGTCATGCTCTTGCGCAACCTGTGCCAAAGAAGAGACTTATGCAATGAAACGCGACTCATGGTTAGCGCTCATACGTCCACCCAAAACATCGTTAAGGGCGAGGTTCTCGAAGAGACAAACCACAAAGCAATAAGCACTACGTCATCATTAATATATATACCATATCATGCACCAACTCATATACGCTGAAAGAATGGCTGTGTAGTCGCAGTGTTGACGAGAGAAGAATCCAACAATATTTCTCGATCATATTTGATCTTCTTGAGGGATACTTTGAGGTTCGCTTGTACAATGTTAACAGCGTTTCCTTGTATATGTTGACAGAAATGAAGACTGGTGATTCCATGAAGAATCTATAATGCACAAACACGCTTTTATTGTCCACGAAGTATATACTTAAGCAACATCGCTAGAACACTCACACCCAATCTTTAGCTTCTCTTGACCAATCACAATGACGAATACTCGATATTGTACGGATTTTGTCAATCAAGCGTCAACATTCGTAACGGCTACCGGATCTCGCCCCATCACAGTGATATCTGTTCAAACGTCTGGAGAGGATCCACCGACACCATTGTTGAAATACCTCAATAAGCGCAAGCATTAAACTCCGGCATGTCCCGCGCGCACACCACCAACGTGTGCACTACATGCGCAGCCTCGCTTCAGTTGGGAGCAAATGTCTTGCAGCATGCGATCGACGGTGTCAAAAGTTCTGCTGTGGATCATCGAGCATCGTCCCAGACGAAAAAATCGGCCGCGCGAAATAGAGCAGCAAGATGACTTTACTTCTTCACAATGAGAATAGTGTTGTCGTTGACGGCTACAGAAATCTTGAACCGCAGGTGGGCGGTAATACAGCCGTTGAATATTGGCGCTGCAAGACTTGTGGTGGATGCAACAGCAATCGAGACACGTTCGTTGGACCGACACCATGCAAGCAGAAGTCTCGACACAAAACGTTTTCGGAACACCTCCGCCACACAAAACATGTGACGTCTACGATGGCAAGGGGGCAGGCAAATTGAGCTCGTGGCATACGGTGTCAAAAACAGCGCGTTGTTCCGAGTTGGCAGTGACGAGGCCCAGAAGGGTATCCAGTAGAACATCGCTTTCGGTGCTGGGTGGGAGTGTTAAATTCTGATTGGTTGCGAATTGTTACGCTATAAAGTATATATCACTCAGCTTTGTCAGGATAAGAGAAACGTTAAGTGTAAATGTTCCCGAGAGGTCGCAGGAGATGATGATGTGCCTGGAGCCCAAGATGCCGGGGCAGATACCGTATGCTGCCGAAGTCCTTATTGGCGATGATCACTTGGGCGAATTAGACAGTGTAGCCGCAAGGCCTTGAGCGCACGCCGCACGATACACGAACCACTTAAGCGCATTCTCCGCAAGCACAAGCTGCTGTCGTATGTGTGCGAGTTTTCCGCAGCACGCCTTATGCCGTCCGAGGTGTGCAAGCTCCGCTAACCTTGCTGCAGCTATATTGGGATCGGCGTCGAACACGCGTGTGAATCTCCTGCCAGCTACAAAAATCAAACGCTTTGCCACAACAACGATGCCATTGTGTCTATCATAAACACTACCACCTACAAGCAAAAACTTGGCCTCGCATGCTGCTCTTGTGGCTTCTGTTAAGATGCCTCTCTGGGGCGTCAATGGTGTCAACTGCTTCGTCCGATACGCGGCGTCACTGCGCATCGAGAGCATTGTCGACAACTTGCGTCGGTACAATGCAATGCAGTATTTGAGTTTCACTCGGCCGGAAACTGTCCCCAGCACTGGACACAGGGTTTCTGCCATCGATGGAGATTTGTACCACTACTTTGGCCGCTTGAATCGACTAACGATACCCAATCCCGACGTTGTGCTCAGATCTACGCCATCAACAACGTAAATACTTAACTCTCAGTTGTCATGCAGCCTGCAGGCGAGGTGGTGATTGAAGGAGCTCCGGCACGAGACATTGTGTCATAAGGAACACCAAACGACGACGCAGACCTCCTGCAAGAAGAAGCAGCAATCGACTTTCCGTTGGGGTTCTCAACTCTAAAAGATGCTGCTTACGCTATGGAACTTGGATCATGGCTTTACGAGATAGATGCATGGAGGCTACAATACTGACCCATGCACAAGCTGGCGAGGCGAGGTCATCTTCTACCTCGCATCACGCTTATCACGAAGGTCCACACAACACGCTGTCGTTGGAGCTCAAGCGTCTACAGTTCCTTCTTTGTCTCGCATTTGCCAGGACTATTACTTGACAAGTCCTAAGGTCAGACAGTCCCTCGCGTTGGAGTTCGGAACCAGGTATCGCATACGGACAGTTTCATGTTGCGATGTCACGCGTGCTACGAGTTACAATGGGGCTAATTGTAGCTTCAAGGCCTCGGTGCGCTCTGCGTGACCTAAAGCTTTCCCATCTCGACGTATCAACACCACAACCCAAGTTGTGCAGGCACGTGCCAACATCCGGATCTTAGTACTCAACTCGAAATCCAATGTCGACGGCCATAAGTTCACCAAAAACATTGTTTACGACGCCGATCTCGACGAGAGAGACGTCGGAGAGTCATGTGCACTACGGCTTCAAGACTATATGTCTACCACCTTACCATTTACGAACTCGCTTTCGCTAAAAGAGTCGTCGTAGGGTCATTGGCCTCACACACGTGCATAGGCTACAACAAACATGCCAAACAGACTCGCTGCGGTCGTGGGGTTCAGAAACGCCTCTCCGTCGCGCACTATGTGCGCGTTCTTTCTGTGCTCGTCTTTGCTGGTCAGCGGCCGAGTTGGCTTCCACGCAGTCCGGTTAGGTGCCTTCGATGATGCACACAGATCTTTTCACTTAGTAGTACAGATAATGATTTACGGCCAGATTATGATTTACTTGTAAACTCTAGATGCCGACAGCCATCTCCATCGTGCTGGGGTTGAACGACTGGAATGGCTGGACTCGGGTGGCATTTCGCTGGTTGACGACGGGAATCTGCGCCTTGACATCAGCCGTGAACGCCCGCGCGACGTTCATGGCAGCGTCGTCCAGCATCACGTGAGAAAAGTCTTCGGTGATCTGCGGCTGGTCAAACCCGGTGATGATCATGATAAGCGCTAGTCGAACAGACGTTCCAGGGCGGCCTGCAAGCTCGCCTTCGACCCACGCTGCCGGGCAAAACGCCGGATCCGAAACGTACTCGGCGATGGCGCCAACGTGGTTGTGCATGGACGAGACCATGAAGATGAAGTACGTCACAAACTCATGCAAGCTGGTGAGCGAGAGCGCCGGCAACGCGAACGGCAACGCCGCGTCCAGCACCGTCCAAAAGGCAACCACCGAGGCGTCCGAAGTCACCTCGACATCTGCCGAGTAGTAGAGGGCGAGGTAGCTCGAAACGAACCGAGAAACAATGTACCAGTAGTCGATACCGTCTTCGTGCAGCGGCAGCGTCATCGTGTCAATTTGCTGGCGTGCCACCATCGCGGGAAACGGCTCGTACGCAAAGCTACCGAGCCCGATGTCCCATGTTTGCTTCATGCCTCTGGTGGTAAGCGCAATTGCACGCTGAAGCATGCCTTGGGGCCAGAAGAGTGCTCGCCCAGCGCCATAGTTGATGGCCGCCGACCGGAATGTGAACGGCTTTAGAAGACGTCGGAGCGGGTGTGTTGGCGGCAACTGCTCCCGGTGGACGACAGTTACGTGGTTTGCGATCGTCGAGTGTACGAGCAGCAAGTGGTCGATGGCCGTGACCTTGGTCTGGAGACTGCCGCGGAAGCACATCTTCACATACTCCCACTCTGCGTCGTCCGGTCGGTACGTGATGCTCCCGCGCACGATTTTGGTGACCTTGCACTTGTCGTCAAAGAAGACGTCAGCGCCGTACTTGGCGAACCCTTTGCGGACGTCCAGCGCCTGCATAAAGTTTGTTGCAATCGTG